TTTAAGTAGAACTAAAACTGAATACATGGAATGTAATTTTAGTAGTAATAGCTCTAGTGACAGAAGTGTGACTTTGGGTGATCAAATTATTAAAAGGTGTGAACGATTTAGATATCTTGGGTCCGTTGTCCAAAGCGATGGTGATATAGATGGGGATGTTAATAGTAGAATTCAAGTTGGTTGGTTGAAGTGGAGGAATGCTTCGGGCCTTTTGTGTGATAGAAAAGTACCGCTAAGACTGAAAGGAAAATTTTATAAGACGGTGGTGAGACCTGCAATGCTCTATGGCGTTGAATGTTGGCCTTTAAAAGAGAAGCATAATAATAAGTTAAGTGTTGCCGAGATGAGAATGATTAGGTGGATGAGTGGCTTTACACTTAGAGACAAAATGCGAAATGATTATATTCGTGATAGGGTTGGTCTAGCTCCTGTGACGGACAAAATTAGAGAAAGTCGTCTTAGATGGTTTGGTCACATTAAACGTCGACCATCTAATTATCCGATTAGGAGAGTAGATGTTTTAGATTCGACTTGTGTTAAGAAAGGCAGAGGTAGACCTAGGAAGACTTGGGCTTATTATATTAAAAATGACCTTAATTTACTAGAACTAAATGAAAATATGACACTAAATAGGACGCAATAGAGAAAAAGGATTCATGTAGCCGACCCCACATAGTGGGATTAAGGCTTTGTTGTTGTTGTTGTTGTTGGTGTTGTACACATGCATTTAGAATTTTCTGCATATTGTAAATGGACACCTACAATTGAATGTATGAATGCATGTTTACGTCTCTTACTATACATGTGATGGATCACGCTATAATACATATGACTGTTTATGATATTAATTGTATAGGAAATCATTTGTTATGCTTCATGTCTATGATACATATAATACCTGATAAATGATAGATGGAGGAATAATGATTTTAATGTCATAAGAAATATTATGGGTACACTGTTATACGAGTACTTGCAAGTACACTATCAAATGATATAGTATTATCAACTTCTGAAATTTATACCACAATGAAACTCTAGGAATAGTTGGGATTAAGAGGAGACAAAATGTTAGGGAACTGTGGATATCCAACGGGATGATTATTGATATCTGTTATGTTAGGGAAAGCCCTACCTTTATCGATAGTTTATATGACCTTTGGGGCAGGATGAGGACCCATGATATGAAAAGACATGAAAATAGTTGAGTGCTATATAATAAATAAGAGACATTACTATGAAATGGCCTTTATGAAATGATATAGTTATGATTACATATGATAAACAACTTATAAACATGCTTTTGATTATATTTCTGACTTCATACTTACGACCTACATGTTACTCTGCAAATTTGATTTTTATACTATTTATTCTCTTTTCATGTTCTCTACTATACTAGCATATTATAACTTATGTGTAGATTGTATAGTTTCATACGAGCATTCACATTGTTTGTTTTCCATGTATAAAATCTTAAGTTAGCATTGATTATTTCTTCAAACTCGTTGTTGCTCATCTTACGTTGTTGCCTTCAAAGTAAGGGAAATAAACATTAAGGGGAGTAGTCAAGTGTGATTTGAATAGCTTTGCACTATATAGTTTTAGAAGTTTTAGAGATTTTTTGGGTACGTATTTAATTTATATTAAATTTAACAACTCTAGATAGTTTTCATGTTTTGAGGTTATGATTTTTTCACATTTCCGAGTATGAATATGAATGAATTATGAAAAACAATGTATCACTTGTGTTGCAGCAATTATGTTATACTAGTTTTTCATCCACTTGTTCCTGATTTTGCAGCTCATGATGAGTGTTAGTGA